AGTGAACTGCCTGTCAGAAATCATAGCACATCAGCTGTCTTAACCGCGGCTTGTGTACTGCATCATCACTGTGTATGTCACGCGACTCTGTTGCCCTTTCGGGCTTGAACTGATGGTAAAACTAACGACATTATTAACTGTCTTGATATTTACTTTGAAAGCTTGAAGCTCGCGATTATGGTAAGGGGAGTTACATTTCCAACGCGTGCTTGTGGTGTTCGGCCAATCACAATGCACTGGGTCAGCTGGCCAATCAGAGCAGACTGCGCTTGTCAAAGGAGGGGGCTTTGTTGAAAACGACGCGTTTGAGAGAGGCGGGGCACAGAGGACCTACAATAATGTACAGTATTTGAAAAATAATGTGTTTTTTTGAACATTAAAGCATGTCAACATATTATGTTACACCAAATACACAAAATAATGATCTTTAAAATAGCATCATATGACCCCTTTAAAAAAAATGATGAGAAAGAATTTCAGTGTTGTCATTTGATAAGATGCGACAGATTATACTTATTATGGTGATATTGCAAATTATTTTTTCGAAGAATACATTTCTTTCAAAAGTGTATGAGGTGGCGGATCCCCTAAAATAGGTGACAGAACCAGTTCATGATGTGCTGGATATGGCTTGTCTTGGTATAATGAACAATTCACCACGCCTGTTTAGTTTCCTTAGAACCCCAGGGAGTAGCTATTTGTAATGCCTAATCAAACAAAAATGTATCATCGCAACATTTGCGTATGGTATCGGTTAATGGTATGCTAAGCTAGTACTCTGAGCCATTAGCTAGCAAAACCTAAAACTTTAACTTTAAAAAAATAAACAAAAATTTTGTATGTAACAATTTTAAAAAATAAATTTTCATAATAGCCACATAAAAATAGTTCAGACAAATACACCAATGCCCAAAAGTTTAGGGGCGATACGATTTTTTTATGTTTTTGAAATAAGTCTCTTATGTTCTAAGGCTGCATTTATTTGATTAAAAATACAGTAAAAATAGTAATAATGTGAAATATTATTACTATTTATTTATTTATTCAGCAGCCAACGTTGAATTTTATTTAATTTATTTTTTTGCTGAAACATGGTATTTTTTTCAGGATTCTTTGAAGAATAGAACGTTCATAAGAACCACATTTATTAAAAAATCTGTCACTTCGAATTGATTTAATACATCTTTGCTGAATAACGGCATTAATTTCTGTCAATTAAGTAAATAAATAAATAAAAACAATTTGTAGGATTTCTAATCAGGCATTATATAAAAGACTACCCATTAAAAATGCTTATAGCCACTGGAATGCTTTGGGGTCGTAGGGAGACTCTTTTCAACTGGCGGACTGAATTGTTCATGATGGCGGCATCAATTTTATATTTAACTCTCTCAAAGGGATATTGAGGATATTAGTGCAGAACATTGCCTCTCATCAAGTGATTCAGAACATGCTGTGACGTGTGGAACCTGCCCAGCTGTGACGCTGCAATCACACGATTTGGATGACAGTTGGAGTCTTCCTACTGGAGATAGATCTCACTGCACGAATGCACAGACACTAATGTTTCTTAATACAGCAGCTACACTGTAGCTGGATTGCATCACAAAGTGTTTAAAGTGTGTTTTCGATGAGGTCTAAAGTGATTAAATGTAAAGTTTTGCCGCACAAACTATGAAAGAGAATATTAAATGTGGAACTCCGAATATTTTTAATTGGATGTGAGTGTGAAATTTAAGTTTTCATGGGTTTAGAAAAGTATTTGTTTGGTTTCCTGCCGTAAAATAGTCCTGAAGTTGAAAGTTATGTCAAGCAAAGCTGACAAATAGAAGAAATCTGGTCTCTGAAAATTAAATTATGATACGGTAATGCATTTTTTATTGTAAAATTATTCGAAATGTTATATTTTATTTATTTTCCAGATTGTTTGCCTTATGAGAGATGGGCACAGATGAAATGGAGTCTTTTAGAGTGGGCTCTCAAGGGGGCTTGCTTAAGGTTTCATTACACTGCAAGAGAGGTTCAGTTGTCTATTACGATAGACATAGACCTGTCTGCTGAAACACTGACATATTCCCAAGAGAATAGTAAAAATCCCATTTCTGTGAGTAGGAGAGACCATGGAGTGTTGTAACGATAAATTGTAAAACTACCAGTCTAACCAAATAGAAATGAGCTATAGCCTAGTGGTTGAAATCAGTCATGTGACCACTGTGTAACACATTTTATAAGGATGTATAATTTAGTACCTGTCTAATAATTTGATTTGTGATCATGCAAATGCTAAATGACAGCAGATTATCTCGTTTAATTTAATCCGTAACATCTAAAATCTTTTTCATCTCGGTATTAAAATTGACCAGTGTACTCAACGCTAATTTAAACAGTTTAGAGATAAGTTGTATATTTATAATTCACTTTAATTTGAAGTAGATGAATATGAGATATTATATCAAAGTTTGAGACAGGTAGTCAAAGAAAAAAAAAGTTACAGACTTAACATTTTACAACACTCCTTGGTTTCTGTTGTAGTTATCAGACAATGTTATTTGTTATGTTAACCGGGCGGAAACATCATTTAGTATGGGTCACCATACTTGGCCACATGTCACTTCACTTCACTTATTTCTACATGGATATTCCTCCTGAGAATCTCATGGTCAGCATTCTTCACATTAATATTAGACTTGATAAAAATCACAACCTATGAGACCAAACTGCCATTATGGGTTTTCAACAGATGCACTTGGGGAAGATTTTCAATGTCCCTTTAAAAAATATCCCCAGCAAGATCGTTGCAGTTCCTTTACCAGCCGCAAAGTGCGTCTTTGCTCCACTTTTGAGGCGCTCACATTCAGTTCCTCTCCGTACTGAGGGCAAGTGGAGATATCGGCATTTTATCAACCCGCGAACCCACAATCGTGAGGAACGAGGGTAAAAAAAACCTCTCTAGTCTTTTACCTTCTTTGCGACACCTAAAGAACTGCACTGGGATGTGTTTTTTTTTTTCTGATGAGACGACGGATTGTGGATTAACATCAGTCTTAAAACTGCATTAGGGAAATCATATGCTGTTTTACTCATACTCAAATAGTTGGACCGAATCATGTCGCTGTCCCAGATGCTTCTTGCTTGAGCTTTTCCTTCGTTTGGATTGTATTTTTCCCTCCTCCTGCCGTCATTAGTGGGAGACGCACTCTGGAAATGTAGGGAATGGCAAAGAGTATTGGAAATAGAGCTTCATGGTAATTATGTGGATCATTTTATCTATCTTGGGAGCTTCTTGCGTTGTTTGTTTGTAACCGAGACTGTCGTGTTTTGTTCATTATATAATTACAAATATAAATGCATGCAAAAAGAGCAGAAGTAGCACAATAAACTTGTGCATTTGACTGGATTGTAGGATTCCAGGACTTCAATAAAACTGCTCTAAATGTGAAATTGTACAGAAAATGAGCTTTCAGCGTCTGTAGTTACCTTATAATGTCCATAAACCGAGAACATCAGGAAGAAATAAACTGGGATGTGACGTGCTGTAACTTAAATAAGCATTTAATACAGTCTGCAACCCTTGAAGACCCATTATCAGGAGTCAGATGTATTTAAAGTGTACACTAATGTGCTCACCCCTCAACTTGAATGATAATTATTCTGTTTTGATTAATGTGATTCTCATTTTACCCTTCTTAATTTGAATTAATCCGACAAATTAGTCGAGATCATATTAACTGACTGATAATGAGGTCTTGAAGGTACCTCTGACTCAGACAGCTTTGACGTCGCGGTCGTGTATGGAGCGTGCATCGCCTATATTGTTCATTTATTTATTTATTTTTCTTTCGATGCATATCATACTGAGTGATGGCATTCTTGAATATTATTCTGCGTTAATACTGGACGGTCGAGAGTGGAGGGTGCTTTCGGTGGGCAACTTGTGCAGATCTCATGGCGTTTGACGGCGTGATGATCAAGCAAACTTGCCATTCACGGTCGACGCGAATGCGTTTGTATAAACGACAGAAACATGTCCTCTTCGACGCTTAGATGCTTGGCGTTTTTTTTTGTTTTTATTTATTTGACCTAGACTCGGTTTAAGTTCGAGAATAGCGCTTTTTGAAAAATGTATGTCTTTTAAAAGAATAATAAATAGTTCACCCAAAAAGGAAAATATATAGTCATTTACTCTCCATCGTGTTGTACCAAATACGTATGACTTACTTTCTTCTGTGAAACGCGAAATAACGTGTCAGTCAGGATGTCTGTGTGTCTTTCATTGCGTCTTTTCTGCATGCAGTGGAAGTGAACGGCGACTGAGACTGTCATTCAGATAAACGTCTTTTCTGTTCAGCGGAAGAAAGTCATACGAGTTTGGCACAACGTGAGGTTGAGGAAATGCTTTAAATGATATTCGTTTCGTTGAGGAGCACCGCGTTCATTCAGTGTTAAATACCGACATTTCCCCAACGTCAAAACCAGACAATTTAGCTTTTTTTTCTTTTCTTTTTTTTTTCTCGGCCAGCACTTCATGTCAAACTTGTCAGGCATCGGGGCATTTTGGTCAGTTCGGTTTAGCTAGAAACATCTTGAGGTAAATGCGTGTCGTTTACGAATTCATATTTGGTGGAATATCACATCTAAATTTAAAAATAACCACTAAAGTTTATTTAAAGGTTGTCATACGTAGTCATTTTGTCTATGTATGTAAAAAAACTAAAAAAAAAAACCTAACCATGTTGTGGAGGCTAGTTTGTGTTTCTCCTGTCTGCCTGAAGACCAGGTACCAAATGTGTACAGGGGAGGGAGCCAGTCCATAAATAATGGAGGCTTTGACTCTTCCTGCTAATGTTGCTTCATGGATTCTGATAAATGAAGACAGCCGCCTCCAAGGCCCATTTGTGTCTCCACACGAACACGTTTTATGTACTCCGCCATCCTCAAATAAGTTTTTCTTATCCTTTTTTCTCCAAATTCTGTATAAAGACGCAATACAAGCCTAACTAAAATATGTGGCTCTGATGCTGCTTTGATTCTGTGGAAATGAAATGCAGCATCAGTGCAGCCTTAAACTTAAAAAAGCTTGTATATTATAGACTAATATAACACTTGCGTTTTTTTCATATTTCTATTAATGTCACATTTCTATATGCATAATCTATATTATATAATTGAATTTTTCTGTGTAATTCCAGTTATGGTTTAGGTATAAATAGTGTATAAATGCATCCCCCACGTGCCATTGCAGTGTAAAGATGGCAAATGTTTTTAAGTTCTTTAAACGTAGTTGCTGTCAAGATGCTTAATGGTGTCACCCTAAAGTTTACTCTGTGATTGTTTGGAAAATCTTTCCATTTACTGAGTTGACATTAAACTTTGTCGGTTACATGGTGATTAATTACCAGGGCTTTGTTCTGCCTTCATTGACGCTCTTCATTATGTGATATGAGGATCGCTTCATAATCAGCACGCAGAGCGTATGTCACTGTTTGAAAGTGTGAAGGGGAAAGTGATCTGGGTGTGTGTGGATTCTCAGTGGTTGTGTTCATAATATTCCTACATTTCACTGCGGCCAACTGGTTTACAGTCTGAAACTAATATTGAGTCGTGATCTTGGTGTGAATTACCTGTGATTTTTTTCTTAAAGTATACGTTATGAATCTGCAGATGTATATTGAAGGTCTGCTATTATAACACTGTGATTCCCACTGAGGTTTATAATCATCTGAGACTGAATAGTCTCTTTTTAGAGAATATCATAATTACTATTGCATGCCTAGTTGTTTGGACAGAAGCCACCACCACAGTGAGAACTCACTCTCTTTAAAAAGAGATTTTATGTGGCAGATTATGTGACGACATTTTCTGGACGTGCTGTTGTGTTTTTGGTCAGTTTTTCTTCTTTACTTTTAAAGGTGCACTGAGTAAAAACAATTTTACATCTAAAGAAATCAACAGTACTTATGACAGATTTGTTTAAATAATGTACTGTAAACTCACATGAGATGAAGAGTCATTCATATCAGTGTCGTAGAAGACATTCCACATAAGGTTGGTCCACCTTCCTGATGATTTTTTGTTTATTTATAAATATTTATATCAAATAAAATAATTAATATTTTTTACAACATTATCATTAAAACAACAACAACTAATAATAATAATAATATTGGCAAGTTGTATGTGTTAAGTATATATGTAACATCTCCAAGTCATGAATTATATCAACCCTCTACATTGCGAGTAAATCGTGTGTGTATATGTGTGTATGTATGTGTATATGTGTGTGTGTGTGTGTGTGTATGTGTGTGTGTGTGTGTATATGTGTTTGTATATGTATGTGTGTGTGTGTGTGTGTATATGTGTGTGTGTATGTATGTGTGTGTGTATATGTGTGTATATATGTATACGTGTATGTATATATTTATAAGTCTGGCGAGTAAACAAAAAAATTTACTAGCCAATGGCGATTCAATTGCCAAGGTGTTCGTAGAGGGCTGTATATAATGCAATGTATAATTATATAATAAATGTATAATTAGGAACATCTTATAAAATTCCACAGGTATCAGTCATATAATTTATTTAGGCCTATCTAAAATTCATTTGAGTAGAGACTAGTTGTTTCCTGTTGAATGCACAATGTAATGCTATTATTGGGTGCTATTCTTAAAGACCCAACATATAGCATTAATTTGTAGATCTGATCTAATATAAACTAACTGATAACAATCAAGTAGAAATGTATAAATATTGATAAATGTATGTTTAAAACCAATTTCCAGTCTATTTTTATGTTAAGATCACATGTCCAGCTGAATATTGCTCACTTTATCTCAATAACTCTCCTATTATTGGACAAATAATAGCATAAATAAAAGAACAATATGCCTTTTTTACTATATCAAAAAAAATGTTGTGATTATTATTATTATTATTATTTAAAAAGATAAATAAAACTTAATGCACCTTTTAATTAGGTAGTTAGAGTTTGGAGTCCTCATACCAGCAGTTCAGAGCATCTTATTCAACATTGTGTCTCAAATGCTTTCAAATGCTTCCAAATCCTGCTGAACTCTCAACCACATTGGCGCGAATGGAATACTAATTCACTGATCGTGGGCCATTAAATGTGATTAAGGCGATGTGATTTGTCTCCCTGCATACATCCTGTGTGGAGCATGGCACCCGTTGTCTCTTTACTCTGCTTTATTGTGCAGACGAGTGCCTTTGTTTGACTGTCTCTTGCTTGTTTTGTTTTGTCCTTTTGTTTGTTTTTTTTCTACTGCAAGAAAACGATTATTTTGCTGTAATCATTTAGGCATAGCTGACATCGCTGTTCGCAGCAAGCTGGAGGGAAACGACAATGGTTGCCCTTTGAAGAATACGCCATTCTGTGTGTTTCACGTATCTGTGCTGTCAGGTTCGGGATTTGCCGTGCATTTGATGAGGAAGGCATTAGGCCCGCTACAGCCTGTTCACCTTTCATTATTCCCTTGTGCCTTGATCCTTCAGCAGAATTCAGCGAATGTACAATTCATCTTTCCAACGTTGTGTAGATGTATACTTGTGATTATTTAATGCATGATGGTTCAATTTGTTAAAAACAGCTGTGCGATTGTTTCAAATGATCTTCTATAGTTGTAACATTAAAGTCTAGGAGGGAAAAAGAAAAATGTAAATTCTGTCATCACTTACTCACCCTCTTGTCGTTCCAAAACCATACGACTTTCATTTATCTTCAAAAACACAAATGAAGATATCTTTAATGAAACCTGAGAGCTTTCTGTCTCTCCATTTGAAAGTTCAGGTAACCAAACGTTAGAAGATCCAAAACGTATACTAAAACATTGTAAAAGTAACCAGAATAAATTGAGTGGTTTAATACAAGTCTTCTGACATAAACATTGATCAACACATACTAGAGCACATCAGATATGCTGAAGGAAGCTCAAACGTGCTTGTGTGACAAACAAGAAAAATCTTCATTGGTTCTTGTTTGTCAAGTGAGATCCAATGTGGTTTGTTTTTCTAGAATCTCTAATTTCAGTAAAATATATCTTAATTTGTGTTTTGGAGTTGAACAGAAGTCAACTTACCCTTAGAAGGGTAAGTAAATGATGACAGACATTTTAAAGGGATCTTTCTCTTGAATGGCCACAGTTATGTTGTATAGCAAGAAACAACTGTGCTTCACGTTTTGGAACTGTTGAAAGTGCACTACATGTAACAGACCCTCAGAAACCACTAT